TGTTTGTTCATGTATGTTTTGTGTTTGTTGTAAAAATAAAAAAATATTAAAAAAAAAAAAACAGCAGGAGGAAGAAGATGGCGAAGGTGAGCTGGGGGCAGCAGAGAGCAGCAGAGGTAGGTGGTAGAGTGCAGGGCGGCCAAAAGGGCAGAGATGGGGAGATAGGCGGGTGGGGGGAGTTGAAGCGAAGGTGAGCGTGACAGGGCAGAAGTGTGATGTCCTCAACTAACGACAGCACAGTCCTCACCTAACAGCCACAACCGGGATTGCTATTGCTAAGCAGTGCAGTCATGTGATGTTTCGCCTAATGATTGCTCTGCTTAGTGATGGAAATTCTGGTCCCAATTAGGGTCATTAAGTGAGGACTACCTGTATTATTGTTTGTTCCCAGCACCACTATTACAATGATTTTTTAAAAAAAGTTCTAAACAATTCATTAGTTGTGGTTACTTCAGGGAATTTCCAATCTATAAACAGTTTATCATTTGGACTTCTGTCCATTCCAAATCTCTGGATCTGCAATCAATATTGGGGGAGAGAAGGCAAGGAGTAATCCAGCGCTTGCTTTTCTCGGTGTCCAGAAACCCTACCAGGTCTTTTAAATCTAGATTTATTTAGGCCAGACCCTACATTCTAGATTGAGACCTTTGTTTCTAAAACAGCGGTCTTAGGTTTTAACAGCCTGAAACTGTCTGAAACTCTTCCTCTGCAGGGCAGCTCTGTAACCAGTAGCTCTGAACTCATGAAGTGTGCAGTGTGAGACATGATCAGTGTCATGTTGTGATTTTGCAAAACAGCTACAGAATTCAAACTACTAAAATTTGCTATCAGTTTTCATTTTTAAAAAAGCATGGTTCCATAGACACTCTTGAAATATGTGAAAAGAGTCTACTAGCAAGACACCATGCATACAATCAAGAAAACACAGCCCTATTGCATATTCCCAACACTTAACCTTTGGTATTTAAATGTGGATCCGGTGAATTCTGAACTAATCCTTTATTCAGTTTCAGTCACTGAATGAATTGGGAGGCCCTCTTTCCTCTCTCACCCCTGTTCCCTCTCATGCTATCTACCATGCTTGCAAGCCATCTAAAGGTCCCTCAGGAGGGCCGCCATTTCCTGCTAGTTGCTGCCTCCTCTTCCACTGGATCAACTCATCATCCAAGATTATAGTCTGCTGCTTGCGGAGCAAAGCCAGTGTCTGTTGGTGCTTTTCAGCCAGTTCCTGAGGAGTAGAAAACAGCATTTTGAATATGGTATTAACAACAAAAAACCCAATGGGAAAGAAAAAAATAAGAGTCAGGACTTGGGAGGATGGTACTTACTACACGATACTGTTGCAATGTCTGAGCCTCCCGATGCAGCCAAGCTTCCAGTGATGTCTTTTTTTGCTGCAAACTAGGCTCACGGGCCATACGTTCCTGGGGGTTTAGCTGAGAAAGCTGAGTAAACTGGGCTGGAAAGGAAGCACAAATTAGTCCTTGCCCCAAATTACCTCAATCACCTCATGACCTCAATCACCTCATGACTGCAGAAGAGAGTTCCTTGTATTCAAGCCTATCTGTTTGGTTACTTTGCTACTTTCTTTAAAAATCCGGTTGAGGAACACAGGAAGGCTTTACTATTAGTCCATCCAGCTTCACTTTAAAGTGAATCTTCAGGATTTTCAACAGAGGTCTGTCCTAGCTCTACCTGGAGATGCCAGGGTAGACCATGGAGTGTTTTACATGCAAATGTATGTTTTATTACTATATCATTACACAGTACTATTAATATTATGAAGACTGAGTATTAGTATTACTACTACTACTATTGCACCAATCTTGAAAATGGTTTACTATACCTCCTCCATTCCCACAGATATACCTTGTAGACGAAGGCTCTCTTGGTACTGGATGATGAAATATTCCTGAGTCTGCTGAAGCTTTTTCAGTTGGTTCTCAGTGTCCTGGGTGACCAGGCGTAATTCCTCAAAGGTCTGGTTGATCTGAAGATGCTTCTGGGACAGGGCATCAGCCAGGCTGCTAGCTGGTGAAGGGCTCTGTAAATATGGAGATTTATAAACAGAAAAAAATATGGATATTATTGCCAAGGAGATATATTTGGCCATACCCTAATTAAGTATATAGGAAGGAGAAATATTTATGCAAAAGGAAATCATACTCACATCTGTGGCTTCTCGCACCAGGCGTTGCTCATGGTATAGGATGTGTCGAATGCAGCGTACTAACTCCAGAGGGCAGTGTTTATATGTATTCTGTAAAGAAAGAGAGAACAGCCTGAGAATGAGTAAAAAGAGTGGGAAGCTATTAACTACATCATTCTTTCACTCATGGGAAAGCATGAGAACACCATCTCTTATAGCTGCCCTCAAACCTTCCAAACTCCCAGCCCCTGTAACTCACCTGTAGCTGAGTGGCATAATGACCCAGTTTGATCTTTAGAAGGAAGCCATCCTCGCCCACCTGGTGGTCTGCCTTTTTTTGCAGTTCCTGAATCAGTCCCTCCAACAACTGTGTGGCTTTGGCACCCTCCTGAGGATTGTCAAGATCGATGGAGTCCCTGAAAATTGGATCACAAACAGAGGGGTGTGTGCACAAAAACTGAGTACTTTCTTGAGGACAACAAAGGATTCTTTCCCATACCCTGGTAAAAAAGAGAAGGCAAAGGCAGCATATGTAGCAATTTCGGGAAGGTCATGTGATAGGTAGAAACTCTATTACAATATAACTAGTCTGGGCTAGTTTTTTATGGTTTTAGTTAACTTAAAGTATCTTCCAATCCTTGGTTTAAGCTCATCCAACTGGATTTAGAGTTGCTACATCATTTGTAAGCTGAAACTGAAAGTTTGTCTACTTGGCACCCTAAGTAAAAGGACAATTCAATATGTATAAAGGCATCCTTAGCTTCCCCCATAAATATAAGCAACAGATATAAATAATCAAACTGAATTTTGGTTCCGATTTGTTCACCCTTCTTGCTTATTTCAATTAGGTTGTATCTATTTTTGTTTGATTGTTTTATTATTTTTAATGCAAAACATTGTCAATTTAAACATTCATCATATTTTTGTAAACCACTGTCCATTTTAAGAAAATTACAAAACCATTCCAGAGATGGAGGAAATGCGTTGTGATTGCACAAGCATCAACAATGTTGCACATAATTGAATTCTGCTGCCAATCTACAGAACATTTTTTTTCCTCTAAAGAACTTCAAACCTGGGCAGAAAATCTGTTTAACTGTTCCAAGTGCGTTTCCAGATCAGTCCGATCAGTCAAATACAGGTAGTTCTTGACTTAACGACAATAATTGGGACCAGAATTTCTGTTGCTAAGCGATGTGACTGTAAAGCACAATGTCATGTAACCACATCGCTTAGCGATGGCAATCCCGGCACTCCCTGTTGCCATCATTAACTGAATTCCACCGGCCGTTAGCTGAGGACCCACCCCAATCCAAGCCATTCCAGACTTGGTCCCTCCCAGCCCCAATTGGGACTGCCTCCTCTTCCTATCTCCCCCATCTCTACCCTTTTGGATGCCCTGCATCCTGCCTTGCGGGGTGGCAAGCAGCCCCAGAACCACGCAGCTCTGGAGGTGCTTGTCATGCTGCGGCTCTGGGGCTGTAAGAAACCCCTGAGTTGCAGCGCAGCACGAAGCCACAGCTGCCCGTGGAGGCCTCAGCCAGCCCAGCCTAGCCCAGCAGCATGGCACAAAGCTACTCTGCCCCGAGAAGCCCCAGAAGTGCGGCATGAAGCTGCATCTGCCTGGGGAAGCCACAGCCACCCCAGCCCAGTCCCAGCCGCAGTCACCTTTGCTACCCTGCACTCTGAGGCAACAAGGGCCTTGCTCCCACTGTTGACAAGGCGTGCCTGCCCTGGCCCTTCGTAAGGCAGCTGCTGACCACGTGAGGCCATCTTACCCAGTTCTTGCGAGTAAACCGCTGTGAGCGACCTTGGGAGGAAAGCCCTGTGTGGCTAGCAGCTGCCTCGCAAAGGACCAGGCCAGGCATGCTTAGTCAGCAGCAGGAGCAATAAGATGGTGAAGGTCAGCTAGGGTGGCAGGGGCTGCAGATTGCAAAGGTCAGCTAGAGTAGCAGGGGCCAAAGGGGCATGGGGGGGAGATAGGCAGGTGGGGGGAGTTGAAGCACCCTTGTGGTCGTAAGTGTGGGCGGGCTGCCAAGCACCCAAATTTTGACCATGTGACCGTGGGGGCACTGCAATGGCTGTAACTTTGGGGACTGCTTGTAAGTCCCTTTGTTCAGCATCACTATAACTTCGAATGGTCGCTGAACGAATGGTTCTAAATCTAGGACTATCTGTAATGTTGTATCTATTCACATTCTGAGTGGAAGAAACAAAAACTGGGAAACACTCGCCAAGTTTGCACAGCACTGTAAATCAAGATCACTGGTGAATTCTGCCTTTCTATGAATGTCCTATTTTTTTTTTAGATTTTTTTTCTCCCACCTTTATTGTTTTTATATATAAAACGCAAGGCGGCGAACATACCTAATACTCCTTCCTCCTCCTATTTTCCCCACAAGAACCACTCTGTGAGGTGAGTTGGGCTGAGAGAGAGTGACTGGCCCAAAGGCAGGACTTTCATGCCTAAGGCAGAACTAGAACTCACAGCCTCCTGCTTTCTAGCCTGGTGCCTTAACCACTAGACCAAACTGGCTATATGTTAGTATGTTAGTATGTATGCCAATAAGTTAGTAATGGAGCTTGTTTTCTTACACTTGATTTTCCCTACTTGTCTCCATGCAGGCCAACAAAGGAGAAATCATTTGCTTTATGTGATATCTGATAAATAAGCCAAGGAAAATACGAGGTTTGTTTGAGAGTAATATCCAAGATTTCCAGATCATTTCTGCATGATTACCCATTCATGCTAGTGGGAAAAGTGAAGCAGGAGCAAATGGAGTATATGCTCTAGCATAGCTTTAAAAAACTGTGTTAGCTCAAGGACCCTGGGAGGTGGTGGTAGGGAGGCTTTAGTAAATGATTTCCTTCTCCCATTATGCCAGCATATATGCCTCACATTCTGAATTCAGACACCAATGGAATATATGGATGGCTTTAACTTTTGACCTCCATTATGGTCCTAGTTATTGCTTTTTTACTGGACTATTTTGTTGGGGTTGAAGTTCTGATCTGGTTTGATAGTAATTGTGAACAGCTCTGACTGTGAAGTAGGCTGGTATATAAATGTGTGTGAATGCATATGTGTGTGTATTTAATGTGTGTGTGTCTCTACAGATATACAAGATGTTTAAAAAGTCCTTGTGCAGTTTTAACCGTACTTCTATATAAGTTTTAAATATTCTGTAAAATGCACAGAGAGATAGTTTATTTAAGATTAAGCCTATTTAATTGTAGAAATGCTAACTGTCTAATGGCCACCATCATTTTGGATACAAATATAGCATGACTTTAAGTTCTTTGAACACATTCTGCAGTTGAATTTGACTTGTAGCATTGATCATAATTGTTAGCCTGGCATTATATCCAATAAGCATTTTTTTTAAAATCTTGAATAAATTCCTTCTCTATTGCAAAGATATTAAAAATTAAAACTAACAAGGACTTTATAGACTGTGTGTGTGTGTGTGTAAAATGAAATAAGAATTGAAAGTCTTCAGCTGAAATTTCTATTGCCAAAAATGATCTTAGTTATTTCACTAGAATTTTCTTCAGGAATGCAAAATAAAGATATAAGCTCAACTTGGTCTGTAATGAGGGGCAAAGCACTGAAAATTTGAGACCCTGAACTGGTAATCTGTGTGGGAGAGAAAACTGTACTCAAGACTAGAACTATACAGCTAAAATAATATGCTTCCCAAATAATGCAGAATGAAGGATTTGTTTCAGTCATAAGGGATAAACATCGCATCCACATCATCCCTCTGCAAGGCCAAAGATGGTCCTGGACAGCCAGGTTTCACGCTCACCTACCATGGCTGTCCCTCAATCCACTGTGACAGGTAATGGCGGACCTCTATAGGGAAATGCTGTCCATACAGGGCTTGCATCTGTCGCAGAGCATCCCCTTGGAGCTGCTGAGCTTGAATCCACACAGCCATGATTCAGGACCTGCTAATGAAAACAAGGTAGAAAAAGCATAAAAGCATTGCTTCTGGAATTCTTTCCAATCCCTTAATAATAACGCTACTCCGGGTCATGTGACTAGGAGGGAGGAAGAAGGATTCCTTAGAATGGAGGAGTCAACAGCATTCTCAGCTGCTGCCCAACTGCATCTCCAGAGAGATTCACAGGATTATTTTTTAAAAAACGGTTATTTCTCCATAGTCTCTGGTCTAGCCCTGCCCATTTTCAAACTCAAATCTTTATTTTGTCACCCTCTCCCCTAACACAAAATCTGGTCCAGTTCTATTTGGTTTTTGGAGAATTACCCTGCTGACTGAAAGGCAGTCCTGACCCCTTTTACATAATTTCTTTCAAACATTCTATTGTCTTGGAAAAATCGATATATATTAGGCATACAACTCCAGATTTATTTCTCTCACAATAGAATGGGCAGATTTATCAATAGCACCTTTTCCAGGTAAATCGCAACAATCCTATCTCTGCCACAAATGGGCAATTTTAGAGGGCGGGGACTCAGCACAATCTACTATACTTAAAAACTTACTTACTTACTTATTTCTCAGATTTGTCACTGCCCATCTTGTGAAATGACTCTGGGCAGTTTACAACAAGACAAAAATTCACTAAAATACAACATTAAAAACAATCCTAAAAATAATTAAGTTCCAAGAAGATGGAAAATTGGCAAGTAATTCCAGGGAGCATCATTAGGGGGCTAACCACCCCCAGGGATGGGTAGAGCCCATATCAGCCCATGCACACTGACAGAGCCTGGTCTTTAAACCTTTTATGAAAGCCGGGAGGGTAGGGGCCCGCTGCACCTCTGGGGGGAGAATATTCCAAAGGGCGGGGGCAATGGCAAAGAAGGCTCTCTTCCTGGGCCCCACCAGTTGACATTCCCTTGCTGAAGGGATCCAGAACATGCCCTCTCTGCCTGACCAGATGGGATGGGTTGATGTAATGGGGATGAGACGGTCCCTTGGGTAACCTGGCCCCATGCCACGTAGGGCTTTAAAGGTGATAACCAACACCTTGAATTGGTCCCAGAAACAAACTGGCACCCAATGCAGCTCCTGCAGCAGAAGTGTTACATGTGCCATCCTAGGGGCACCTAATATCATCTGCGCAGCTACATTTTGAACCAGCTGTAGCTTCCAGATACTCTTCAAGGGTACCCCCATGTAGAGTGCATTGCAACCGTCTAACCAAGAGATGACCAGGACATGAGTGACTGACCGGAGAGCCTCCTGATCCAAGAAAGAGCGTAACTGGCACACCACCCAAGGTGGGCAAAAGCTCTCCTGGCCACGACTGCCACCTGCTCTTCAAGCAGTAGTTGCAAGTCCAGGAGAACCCCCAGATTATGCACTGGGTCTGTTTGGGACAGTGCAACCCATCCAAAACCAAAGATGGTAAGTTCTTGGATACAGAGGGGCCCCCAATCCACAGCCACTCTGTCTTATCAGGTTTCAGCTGAAGCCTGTTGTTCCCCATCCAGACCCCCACAGCCTCCAGGCACTGCAAAAGGCTGGTCACAGTATCACTCAAGCCACCTGGGTTGGAGATGTATAACTGGTATCATCTGCATATTGATGATACCTCATCTCATGGTGGCGGATGATCTCACCCAGTGGTTTTATGTAGATGTTAAAAAGGAGCAGAGAGAGTACTGAACCCTGCGGCACCCCACAATGGAGGGGCCATTGGCTGGATCTCTCACTCCCAATCAATACTGATTGGGATTGACCTTGGAGGAAGGAAGAGAACCAGTGCAGAACTGTGCCGCCCACTCCCAACTCCCTAAGTCGACCCAAAAAGATACCATGGTCGATGGTATTGAAAGCCGCTGAGAGGTCAAGAAGAACAAGGATGGATGCACTACCTCCATCCTGTTCCCGCCAGAGATCATCCATGAGTGTGACCAATGCTGTTTCCATCCCAAATCTAGGCCTGCAACCTGACTGGGAGCAGTCCAAATAATCCATTTCCTCCAGGATCCTCTGGAGCTGCAACACCACCACTTTCTCAACCACCTTCCCTAAAAAGGGGAGGTGGGAGACTGGGCAAAAATTGTCTAGTATGGTGCTAGTGATGGCTTCTTGAGGAGGAGAAGCACCAGCGCCTCTTTAAAGGCCATTGGAAACACTTCCTCCCTCAAGGATGAATTCACCATCACCTGGACCCCCCCCCCCATGTCACCTCCGGATTAGCCTTAACCAGCCAGGATCTAGTTGGCAAGTGGTGGCATTGACTGTCTGAAGGATCCTGTCCACTTCCTTGGGTTCAACAGGATCAAACTGTTCCCAGATAACAGGGCAAGTCTGTACTCTGGGCACCTCTATAGACCATGCTGCACGCTTGGTATCCAACTGGGAGCAGAAGTGAGCGACTTTATCCTCCAGATGCCCAGAAAACTCCTCTGCGTGCCCCTGTAAATGGGCCACTGGGCCCCCCTTTCCCAAAAGAGATGAGGTGATTTTAAACAGGGCCACTGGGCGGCATTCTGCGGATGCAATAAGAGTGGAGAAATGTAGATGTTTCACTGCTCTTACTGCCACAAGGTAGGCCTTAATCATGGCTCTAGCTTGTGTTTGGTTGGGTTCAGTCCTTGTTTTCCTCCAGCAGTGCTCTAGATGTCTTTTAACCCTTTTCAAGACCCTCAACTCCATAAGACCATAAGTCTGGGGAACTCCACTGCCAGCCCCGCGACGGCCTCCAGCAGTTCAGGCAGGGAAGTTGCTACACAGCAGGGAGGCTGGTACAGCACAATAATCTCAACTGTTCTCACGAGCCCAACTCCGGGAACAGGTTCTCACAGCTGGCCACTTGTGGAGCAGCACCCCGAAGGCCAAAAGAGATTCCTGGATGACAACCGTTACCCCTCCTCCCCTGCCCTGGGATCTCGGCTGGTGCCAGACTGTGAACCCAGTTGGGAACATTTCTGAAAGGGGCACACCCCCCCCCCCTTCAGGGCCCAGCCAGATCTTGGTAATACATGCCAGGTTGGCCTGCTCCTCAGTGATCAATTCACACATAAGGGGGGCCTTGTTGTTGACTGACCTGGCGTTAAGAAGCAGCAGCCAGAAGCCAGGGCCTCCGTGGGTCTGCTGTCCAGGGCCTGGGTCTGAGTCCAGAGGGCCAGAACATGCCACCAGTAACAAACACCGGGGGTGCCTTCCCCGAGAGTGGCCCACCCTCTGACTCCCATCATAACATCCCCTCCCTGTCACCACCTAAATGGTATAACCCGCCCTAAGCCCCCCAGGTGCTCCAGTTCCCCCAAATTCCAAACCCCAGGCTTCCCTAGTTAGGGGACCCTCCACCCAATCATACAACAGGCACTCAATCAATCAATCAATCAATCAATCAAGAGGGTGTGGTGGGCTCCCAGGCACTTCAGCTCTCGCTGTCAGTGCCATAGGGGCCCTATCCTTCCCCCTTCATCTACTGTGTTCCCTCCACTGGCGTCTCTCACTAGTCGGAAGGGGGCACCCAATTCACTCCTCTCCACTCTCTCCCAATCTCACTCAGGGGGCAAGTATCCCCGCCACATTCACAGACTCCCCCACACACTCACAGACGCACCCTCAGGCTTCTCTGTCTCTCACCCTAGAGAGGGAAGCTCAACTATCATCCACTGGAGGGAACCCAATGCTCTGACCATTTCTAAAGTCCTTCAGGCCCCTTCAGGCCACAGTTGCTATATAGATGTCAGTTGACCAGCCGATATCCTAGTCTCAGGCTTGCGCCGCCAACCCCCCTCCAGTCAGCGCACAGGCTGCCACCAGTCCTCTGGTGGACCATATTCCATATGGTCAAGTGCAGTCCACCTTATTATGACTCCACCTGCCCCTGTGCTGAGGGTTGACAATGAAGATCTTTCACAAGGGCTATAGCCTTGGAGAAAGCTGAAGAGAGAAACTAGAGGGTGTGAACAAACTTCCCCAGAAACAAATCAACTCAGTTAAACTTGTTAAAATGCAGTGCCTTTCTTGAAACTATGCTATCTGACCTCTAAGTCCTTCTTTCTAATCTTGAATTCTGTGGTGGATAATTGTACTTCAATAGGAGAGAGGTATGTGCAAGTGAATTTCTATGTTAATAAAGACACTATAGGTATTACAACTGTAGATATTCCAGGGCTGAAATTCAAGGCTAAACACAGTTAATGCTATCAGCTGCATTTACCTTGAACTGGGCTAAAGAATTTCTATCAAGAGCAGTAATAGTTGGATAAACTGGAGGACTTACTGCACAAATGATTGGGAATTTAAGTAAACTGAGAACTGGGCAAACGAGGAAACGGTGATGCACACATTTGAACACACATCAATAACATGCTGTGCAACCGTCCAGATTCAAAAAAAAAAAAGCTTTTTTGGAGCACACATAGGTGTGTACACAGTACCCGCCTACAATTCTTTTAAGCTTTTTCCTAGAGTTGTTACATGCACACTCTGAATCACTCTTTCCCCCTTTGAATCTGGATGGCTACCCAGCCCTCATCAAGAATACTTTTCTAAAAAGCACCCTTCCCCATTTTCCAATGATAATCTAAAACTTTAATGCTGATGAGGTAAACTGCTAGGAAACAAGGGTTAAACTGGACATATAGTTTAGGAGAAGTAGAGGAACTAAGTACCAAAATTCATGATAGACTGGGAGATTCATGGGAGAATCCACGTACTTTTTATTAAGTACAGTCATGAGTGGAGAGCCTGTTTATATGGTTAAATATGAAATATTTAAAGAGATGTTTGTTGCATTGCATCATGAAACAAACAAAAGCCCATCAAGAAAGGAAAGGAAGGGGAACCACCACTTTGATAGAGAAAACTGTAGAAACAAGGAAAAGATAAAACAATTCCTATTATTTTCTCCAATAGTCTGGAATAGTTATACAGTATCATACCAAGCATCCCCAAACAGTATAGAATACTGAATGCCTAATACATATTATAAAATGCTATAAAACATCTTCTATTAAG